GAGAATTCTCAAATGAGGAAACTCAAATAATTGAGAAACACTTAATGAAATGTTCAAAATCCTTAGTCATCAGGGAAATGCAAATCAAAACTACTTTTGAGATTTCATCGTACACCTGTCAGGATGGCTAAGATAAATAACACAAAGGACAGCTCATGCTGGAGAGGGTGTAAGGCAGGGACTCATCCATTGCTGGTGGAGTGCAAACCTGTATAGCCACTGTGAAAATCAGTGTCCCAATTCCTCAGGAAGCCAGGAATTGATCTATGTAGTGGGTAGCCATTCCAGCTTTGTCCTGAAGTTCCAACCCCCATTGAGGCTTCGGTAACAGTCACGCCTACAAGGTGGGGCTGAGAGAGGACGCTAAAGACCGGAGATCCAGATGCGCGGGCTCTCTTGGTTTCTGGACCCTGGACGCTGGAGGTGGAGGTAGACCGAGCAGAGTTCTCCAGAGAACACCGCTGGACTGCGCTACACCTTTCCTAGACCCTGTAAACTATCCCTTCACTTGTAAGTTACCCCACAAAATAAACCTCCCTTTTAACTATGTGGAGTGGCCATAATTTCACCAATAGATCTATCTCAAGATCCAGCTATACCATTCTGGCATAGACCCAAAGGATGCTTCATCCTACTACAGAGACACTTGCTCAACCACGTTCATTGCTGCTCTATTCATAATAGCCAAAATTGGAAACAACCTATATGTTCTTCAACAGAAGAATAGATAAAGAAAATGTGGTACATTTACATGATGGGATATTACTTGCTGTGGGATATCTTTCTGTATGCTGTGAATATGCGTTACTTTCATTGGCTAATAAATAAAGCTGCATTGGCCTATGGCAGGGCAGGATGGACCCAGGCAGGAAAATCCAAGAGGAATAATGAGAGGAGAAAGGAGAGTGGGGGAGACGCCAGCCACCGCCCAAGGAGCAACAAGATGCCTGCAGACTGGTAATGCCATGGCCATGTGGCAACATATGGATTAATGGAAATGGGTTAAGTTGTAAGAGCTAGCTAACAAGAAGCCTGATCCACAGGCCACACAATTTGTAATTAATAGTAAGCCTCTGTGTAATTATTTTATAAGCGGCTACGGACCACAGGGCCAGGCAGGACCTAAGAAACACGGGACCATGGGGCCAGGTGGGACTTATAGCTACAATTATTCATCTATTTAAAAAAAAAAAGAGGCTTGCAGGTAAATGGAAGGAGCTAGACAAAAATCATCCTGACTGAGGTAACCCAGATCCAGAAATACAAATATGAAATGAATTCACTTATATGTGGATGTTAGTTGTAAAGTCATTAATAAGCAAGTAATCTATATAATCACAGAGGTTAGGCATATAGTATGGAACTAGGGGCTTTTGAGCAGCACAGTTCAGCTGAGAGGCTTCCAGTCTGAGGAAACAGGATCAGCTGAGGAATTGGCAAGGTGAGGTAGCTGTGGCTTTTTCTGTTTCTCTGATCATTCAGCATTCACCCCAATACCTGGCCCAAGGTTTGATTTTATTAATAAGACCTTCTAAGATTTGTGCTACACCAACTGGACATCTCTTGTCACCAAATGAAGCTTCCAGTATTGGAATAGGTTACATCTAATTGAGTTGTTGGCCAGATGGGTCCCATGGGAACTCCCAAACTAGTATCACCAAAACTATTGGCTGATGTCCACAAACTGATGGTCAGGCCTTATTGCTGAAGACAACACTTGCACAATTCATTGAGTGTGGAGAAGTCGAGCTGGTGCCTGCCTAGATCCTTCACCCCTGTAGACTAGTACTCGCAGCACTGGAAGGTACTCTGCACACTGCCGAAGGAGTTAGCAAACCTCAACCCAACTGCAGAACCTTCAGTCTACAATGGTGGCCTGACTACAAGATGTGCTGGTGCAGTAGAGGCACACAGCTTGTGGGAGTCACTAAGCAAGATCTGACTGGATTTAAAACCTAGCCCATGAGATGGAATCCATCCTGACATGCCTGAGTGGCCAAGAACCTAAGATTAGATAGGCCAGGGACCTACAGGAAAGCCAAATACTACCGTTCTGTTAAAATGACTCCGAATGACATTCTGCTACACTCATAGATCAGTGCTTGATCAGCCATCAGCAGAGAAGCTTCCTCCTGCAGCAGATGGGAACAAAACCAGAGACTCACAGCCAGACAGTGTGGAGAGAGTGAAAGAGCTTGGAACACTCAGCCTTAAATGGGATGTCTCCATAAAGCCCTCCCCTCAGGGACCAAGGAACTCTGCAGTAGAGGAGGTGGAGAGTGTAAGAGCCAGAGGGATGGCAGATACCAAGGAAACAGCCTTCTAGACACAGAAGGTCTGACACATGCGAACTCAGAGACTGAGGCAGCATGCACAGGGCCTACAGGGGTCTGGACCAGATGGGGTCTAGAGCTGATTGGAGGAGTGGACACTCACCCTGATCCCTAACTCAGAAGCTAACTCCAACTGACAGCCACTTGAAAATGAAAAATTAGTTTCCTCCAAGGTAGTCTTACTGGGGAAGCAAACTGCTCTCAAGGGCAGGTCCCGTGCCCACCAGAGACAACACAAAATGAACTCGGGGCATCTTTGCAGGTTCTTTGTTTCACAATGTGTCAGGGCTTTTGTATTTTATTTATTTTTTACTTTCTAAGTCCTTTGGTATATATCATGACTTCCTTTTTGTGCTGTGTGATCCCTGTGTGTGTGAATGTGTGTCTCTGTGTCTCTATGTGGTTCTTGTTTCCTTGGCTTTTTTTCTTTTGTTTAGTCCTATTCTGACTTGTTTTTGCTTTATATTATTTTATTATTATTTCTTAGATACTTGTTTGTTCCCTAACAGGAGACAGAAAGGATGTGGATCTGGATCAGAAGGGAGGTGGGGAGGATCCTGGAGGAGTTGATGGAGGGAAACGGTAATCAGAATATATTTTATGAAAAAAAATCTAATTGCAATAAAAGAAAAAGGAAATCAACCTAAAAAGACTAGTGTTTTCCATAAAATGTAACCAGTACAGCAACACAGGCGAGCCCTTGCTTACTCTCATAACCAGTAAATATGCTCGAGTTTTTCCATCTCTCCTCCAGTGTAGCACAGGCCTTCTGTCTGCCTTACCCATGCATCCAGGAGCTGTTGCTGTGGCCTCCATTTGCAATTCTTCATCTCCCCACCTGGGACCAGGACCCCCCAGAAACCAAACAGAACGCCTTCCATCTGTATCTGACTGGATCACAGCAACATCCAAAATGGTCTACAAATCACTCCTTCCTGAAGACTGCGGCTGCCCCGGCTTCCGTCTAAGGACAGCCTCCCACCATTGTGTGACACTGGCCCTTCTCAGTGATCCCCAAGGTCAAAGGCTCTATTATCCTTGAATATGGCAGTGTATGTACACCTATGATCCCAGCACTCAGGAGGCTGAGACAGACCTCACAAGTTCTAGGCTAGCCTGGGCTACATAATAAGATCCTATAAGAAAATAATAGCAATAATAGATGATAATAATATATTCCATATCCTCAGTACTTTCAGCCTGCCTGCCAGTCCTTGGGAAATCTCACCCACACACTTGCTTTTCTGTCTGATGACACGAGTGTGTGTCTCCTCCTTGGGTGGGTTGATTAAGTTGTAAAATCTTCTTGCAGACTCCTGATGCCTTGCTCTGACCTGAAGCTTGATGGTGTCACATTGGGTTTTTTTTTTTTGTTGTTGTTGTTGTTTACCCTTCTTCCTTCCTCCCTTCTCTCATCGTTTACTCTTATAGGTTAAACTCTAACCCGAGCCCAATATTGTCTTGTCCTTCAGTAATTCACAGTAATTTACTTTTAGATCTCCTGTCTGTCACCTCCTCCTGTCTCTGAACTATGACAACAGCGCTGGAACTTGTTCCATCCCCGCCATGGTTGTTTTTATAAACTGTCATTCTTAAGATGTCTCCAGGACTACCTTCCTTTGAGATGAGAGGAATCCCCGTCCACACCCAGGAGAGTCTCCACAAAAAACTAAAGGTCCTGACTTTACTCCCCTCTGCCCTTTTTAATCAGGGGGAAACAGAAGCATCTAGGATCAACATTGTGCCCTAGGATAATTCTAGATAACATGCCCGTCAGCCGTCAGTCACCCCATCCCATTTAGACTTTAACATCGTTATCGACCTCACTGCCTCCAAATCCTCATGCTGTGGCTTTCCTGAGTTATCTGCACCGATCCTTGGTTCTTGATACCACACTGAGCTGGCTACAATACTTAGGTATGCAGCCTCCCAGCCCCACGTACACAACAGAGGAAGTAATGTGTAAGAAAAAGTCTTGGAGGACCATGCAGCAGGTTACCCTTGGACCACTCGTGCAGGTGACAATGGACCTTCACACAGACAACAAAAGGAGAGAAACACAAGCAAGGGCCGTGAAGAATCATGAAGCGAGACTGAAGTCTCAGGCTAGCCTTCAGCCTTTCTCACTCGGGGCGGATCTTCGTTCACGAAAGGAGTTTCCCTGCTCTCTGTGAGTGCTTCGTGCTAGGCCTATGATGCCATGTCGCTCTCACAGCGCCTCCCCCCATGACCATTTGGGCTTTCATCCCAATCAGTTCTCTCAAACCACTAATCTCATATCCTTGACTATCTGCTTCTTCACCTGATCAGCATCACACACACACACACACACACACACACACACACACACACACACACACAACCTTACTGATCTGTGCAGCTGTATGCAATAATGCATTTACCATCTTATCTCTGATGCATTAATGAGTGAGTGAATGAATGACAATCAACATAAAGCAAGGCCATCCTCACTCAGGCTCATCGTCAAGCTTATCCAGGTCAATAATACCCTGACCATGTAGTTAAATTCTAGTAACTCCTATTTCCTTCCTAATATCTTGAAACAGTAAAACAAGACTTTTAAATAGCATTATGTAAATTCGAAGGGACAGTTGGATCCTCATTGCTTGTCACTGCCTTTACTGTTACCAAGGACGGTTCCCTCACCAGGTGTGATGCAGCCTTGTCCGAACTCATGGAGTCTCGGCATGCAGCATTCTCGGGAGCTGGGCTGGTGCCTGTGAGAAGAGGAAACACAGTGAAGGACTGGGGGAGCAGTGACGATCAAAAGAGGAAGAGAGGGAAAGGGTGGTGCTGTGGGTAGACCAGCAAACAACAAAGGCTGGCATGTGACAACAGCAGATCGCTCCAGAGCGCACGCATGTCTGCCAATGCAGAACCAGGGATGCCGCGCCGAGGCCTTCCCCCAGTCTGCACGAGTGGCCTTCCAAACAGAGGGTGTTTCTCTAAGCCTTTCTTGGGCTAATGCTCCCTTTTTCTGCTAAAGGTCTTACTGATCAGTAACAGAGCTACGTAGAGGAAGGAGAAGCGGCTACGAGTTGGCATTCACATAGCTTGACAAATAGTTTTGTAAATATGCAAGGCTGGTAGTGATCCTAACGTTCTGCTAAAGCATGGACACTTGCAAACATCAGGTTACCAGGCTGAGGATAGGGACACTTTGGGAATGCTCCGTCATGCTTGGGAGTCTGTCCATTTTTGCACACACTGCAGAGAATGCTGCCTACACTCCCTAACACTCAGTACTTTTCCCTTCAAGAAACAATAGCCCTTTGTAGTGTTGTAAAAGACTACAAGAAATAAGAACAAAAGAGTTATCAATTTCTTTTGGAAAATATGATTTCCCCCCATTGAAGTTTTATTTTTCCTTAAATTTTAGAGCTGGGACTGATATGAGGAGACCTAACCGAGTCTAACCTGCTTCTGCCAGATGGCAATATTTAAGGCCTGTTATATTGTAATTTTTCTTCCGTCGATAAAATTGAAAGAAAATGATGGCACCTTCCTTCATACACCAGAGCTGCCTCCCAGTTGTCCTTGAGCCCCTCGACAGCGTACCTGGCATGGCAGAGGCCGATCTTGCTTCCTCCTCCTCCTCACAGAGGGATCTGCAGTCAGGTTCACCAGAAGTCATGTGCAAAATGTCCGATCCAGATTCTGCCAACAGGAAGAGGCTGACAGCATGAGAGCTATGCAAAAGAAGCGTTTACCTGGGCTCCTTATTTGCACACCCCTTAGCAGGCCGCCAAACGCCAGGGCTCCGTTTGTGAGAAGAACTCCAATTTTTCCCGCCCCGTCTCTACTCACCGCTTGACGTCACGGTGCTCTCTGAGGACGAGGTGTGGTCAGCGGATGGCTGTGTGAGATGCTCCCTGACGAAAGGATACAAGAAATACCTTCAACATGGAGGGCAGACAATCCCTTTGAAAACCAATGGCATGCACACCCAAGTTCAAGAGCATGGCAAACCTGAGCTGCGGCAAGCTCTCAGAATACAAGTGGCCAGCACCATTCTCCTGCGGAACAAGGAGACACGGGGTCAGTGATTTGACAGTGTCCGTCCCAGAAGGGCAGCTTTAAGCAAACACCCCCAACAGTTTTAAATGAAGCCACTAGTTACTGTGCTCTGGGGGAGGTTTTGGGAATGGAATCTTACAGGGAATCTTCATACACACACTTCCTCACAGACGTTCTCACAATATCTCACTGTAAAGAAAACCTATAGATCCTTGAGCAAAGCAAATTCCAAACCCCAAGGGCAGGTGGACTTTATTTCACACACTCACATCATGTTCTCTTTACAGGGGATGCACTACCTGAGTGTGACATTTTTATTTAAGAGACCATTACTCAGCATTAAACTTTTGACCTGAAATGGCTCTTAGGCTTCTTACTAGATAAATTATACGTTTTAGATTTAACCCATATCACAGGGATCTGATAGATTACAATCACAACAGCATCCATGACTCCATTCAAAGGGGGCATTACTGAACTGCCAGGGCAAGTTGTAAAAGTCTCATTTGAACCTTTAAATTTATGTTAGAGAGGAGTTGGTGTGCTACACTAGGATTTATGCATACGCTTACTCTCTTTCAAAAGGCAAAGGTAGAGTATTGTTCTGGTCCAGTGCTTCCTTTTAAGCCCTGGGCTCTTCCTGTGAGCTTGCTCTGGTTGTTACGCATTTAGGAAGGGAAACTGACTTCAAAACTGCTATCATTCTAGCATGTCTGAGGCAGATGCAAACAATGTGAAATGAAAACACACATAACTACATGCAGGTGTGCATAAACCGTAAGCCCAATTGGATGCAGAATCGTCAAAGGCTATAGCCAAGGGCAGGCTTCTACAGAAGGATGCTGCTTTCAAGAAAACATTGACCAGAGTCACAGAAAGCCTTAGTGAGGGCTTGGGTTTGTTGTTTATCTCATTGTTGGTTTTAGCAGTCCTGACCAACCAAGAGCCTTGGCCACACCAGGCAAGAGCTCCGTCACTGACCTACTCTCAGTCCAGAGGTCTATGTCTATTTAGTGTTAAAATGTACAAATGCCAGGGGTGGTCAGTGGACTCAGCAGGGGAAGGTGCTCGACGCCAAGTCTGATGACCTGAGTTCAATCCTGAGAAACCACTGGAAAGAGAGAAGTGACTCCTGGGAACTGCCTCTGCCCTCCATGTGTATACTGAAACGTACATGTATTATCTCATTTCCCAAAACTCTTATACAGAGGGTTTTCAGGGGGAAATGCAGGAAATCAAGGCCAGGGGAGAAAGAGTCTAGCAAGAGCCTGAGAAGCAGCCAGCCTTCTAAAGTACACTAAACTAACTATAGCGGCTTCTCCACTGCAGAATACCTTTGAGTATGCACTGATGCAGGGTAGTGGGGAAGAGAGTACTTCAACTATTTAGACTGATAAAGATTTAAATATAAACATGGGCTGGACAGAGGGCTCAGCAGTTAAGAGAGCTGGTGGCTCTTGCAGAGGACCTGGGTTCAGTTCCCAGCACCCAATGGTGACTCTCTCCAACCTTTAAGTCCATCTCCAGGGGATCTGACACCCCTTTTCCAGGTCTGCAAGCACCTGCATATACATGCACATACATTCACATGGACACATAATCTTTTAAAATTTAAATATTAATTTTAATGTGTTTACCTCAAATACAAAAGAAAAAAAGAAATGTTCAAATTTGAAAAAATAAGACTCTGTATCACTGCTTAAACTCCTGTTTCATTTCTCCATGGCTTTTATTGATTTTTGTTCTTGCATTTTAACATGTTTGATTGACAGCTGTAGATACCTACACATTTTGAGATGTTTTGCTCCATGCAGAGCTTGCACAGCCAGCTGGGGTAGTAATCAAATGTTGAAGAATTGTACTGCATCACCTACAGGTAGTTCAGTGATGTTGGCCCTATCTCTACTTAAATACATAGTGATTACAATTTTATTTATAGTATGTATATGAAACGAAGCTATAAAAACTGGAGAAGATTAAGTATCATTCCATCCCCTAGGCAATCACAGTTCATAAAAGTCAAGAATTGATTTCTCTAAAGGACATTTGAAATTCCTCAACAGACCAGCGTGTCAGCACTGGTCTGCTGCAGTACTACCATAGCCTTGTCCCCTGGAGCCTTGATGCTCATGCTTGAACGAAGTAGGAAGAAGTGTGTTCATGTTCCGAAAGTGGGAGAAAGGCAACACACAACTTTGTTTTAATAAGCCTTCTAGTTAAAAAGCCTAATTGTCCTGTTTAAAGCCAAAACACAACTATAGCAACCATGTAGATTTGTCCCTATGTGTTACAGACAAGTCCCATCTGTAGGGTTCCCCACAGCACCCCCTTGTATTCACTTGTAACCTTAGACAGTGCAGTCAGGGGGGCCTCGTCTGCACAGTAGAAAACCTTCTGTCTCATGCTCTGAAACATTCTCAGAAGTGTTTTGGACAAATGTCAAATACTTACTGACTACACAATGTCCTGTGTGATCTGAGAGAAACCTCAAAAACTGAGTGGCCATCATCTCCCTCTGGTCCTGAAGGGTTATGGTAGAAGCAATCGGATTTAACTCTCAAGTTGTCAATCTCTATAAATCCCAACCATCAGGTATTGACACACAGCAGAACTCAATCCTAACCTATCATAAGTGTAGCCCAGCAACATGCTGATCCATCCCATGAGAATAACCAGAGTAAAGGGGACGGACTTTTGTTCTTCACTTCAAATCTGGGGTTGTAGTGCAGGAGAGTTGGAGAGAAAGCCTTCTAGACGACTATGTACGTGAAGTGGGATAGGAGTAATTTAAACCTCATTTATACCGTTATCCCATGCTCATATAAGACCTTAACCCCACCACCAACCTTGTGACCTGGAGAGACTGTGAGGGAGAATCTACTAAACATATTTTAAAAGCAAAGAAAACCAAGAAATAGAGTAAATTCGGGTGGGAGACTGACTTACTTTTGGCAGACCAGCTCACTCCATGAAGCGAACACCCAGGAGGAATGTTCTCCATTCTCAGACAATCTATTCAAATAGAGACCTGATCCTATTTACATGAAAACCCAGGCCCCAGCCCTTGCTCTTGTGAGCAGGAGTTAACATGGGGTGGGGTTGGCAAGGTATGGAACAAAGTGAGACAGTCTCCTATGGGCTGGGTCAGCAAACACAAGCTGCTCTCTCTCTCTCTCTCTCTCTCTCTCTCTCTCTCTCTCTCTCTCTCTCTCTCTCTCTCTCACACACACACACACACACACACACACACACACACACACACACACACACAGAGAGAGAGAGAGAGAGAGAGAGAGAGAGAGAGAGAGAATCTCAATGTGTACATGGAAAAATAAATAGGAAGAACAGTAGGAAAAGATGGGATTTTAGAAATTCATTACCCTAGATAATCTTCTAGGGTGTTTGTTGTCAATAAAATGCTGCTTTAACTACAGTCTTATAAATGGAAATGCTCCCCTGATGGACAGGTGTTGCCAATATAATTTTACTACTGAACTGAGTTTAGATAGCTAATGCTAGTCAAATTAACAAGACAAAAAAACAGGCAGCCAGAGTTCATACAGACCCAAGACTGGACTCTGTGTTCATTTAAATTCTCCGAAGAGAGCTCGACTGAATTGGGACAGAAACAGACTTAAATTTCCTTATTTTTCCCCCTTTGCTTTCTAACCAGAAGCTCACCACACCCTCAGACCTATGGGCACACCCAGCGCTGAAAGATTCACTTTGAAGGAGTCAGTATCAGCACGGCCCGATCCTGTAGCTGACAATGTGATTTATTCTCCAAGGTTATTAATACTGTGCCTACACACAGCCTGAGAAAACAGGACAGACAATGGCCAGAAGATCCCCCAGACAGTATTATATTGATCCCTTCCTCTGCCTCAGTAACTCTGCTCTCCCAGTGACAACCTGTCTCATAGAAACAAGTCACGACATGAAGAGAACCAAAGGAAGGAAAACCAGTTAAGGTCTTCTAAACTATAAGGACAGACTTTCATCTCCAAGTTCTTTGCTCTTTGAGCGGGGGAGGTAGTCTTTGAGCTTAATGCCTTTGATCATTCTGACTCTGTGTCAAAGCCACAGATACTATTGGTAAGCATTTACTGTGAAGCCAGGATGGCGTTGGAGAGATGGCTCAGCAGTTCAGAGCACTTGCTGCTCTTGCATAGTACTGGAGTTTAGTTCCCAGCACCTTTGTTGAGAACCACACAGCTGCTTGAAACTCTAGATCCAGAGGAGTCCCCTCTTCTGGCCCCTGTTAGTACCCACATACACGGTGGGTCGGGGACACACACACACACCCCTGGTGTAAATCCTCTTGCAAAGGACCTGTGTTTGACTCCCAGGACCCACAGGGTGGCTCACAGCTGTCTGTAATTCCAGTCCCAAGGGATCCAATGCTGTCTTTGGGCACTACATACATGTGGTATACATATACACAAGCAGCAAAACACCCATACACATAGACTTTTTAAAAATCTTTAATGTGAACCAGCAAATCCATACATGTTACCAGGGGTCTTTGTAGGCTCATATCAGAGACCAGAGAAAGAAAGGAGCTTCAGTTGTTTCGTTTTGAGGCAGGGTCTTACTATGTAGCCCAGGCTGGCCTCGGATTCAGTCCACCCTTCCTGTTTCAGTCTCCCAAGTGTTCCATCATGGAATTCCCTAATTCTTGGACATTCAGGGCAGAAATAAGTACCTAGCATGTATCCAGGTTTGCAAGGTTCTCAGAGAGCAGCTGCCTGCTCTTCAGCCCAGCGGAGAAGGCAATGGCTGAGGAGAGGCGGGCAGCAGAGAAGGAGCTATTGCTCAGAGAAGTCACTGTGACCCAGGAGGACCCTAAGGAAACGGACTGTGGAGGAAGCAGTGGAGCCTGCGCATCTGGAAATGCCACTCACACTGTGCCAACAGGGCACCCTCTGAGAACACCCAAGTGTACAATGGTCTATTGCTGACAGAGGAAAGGGGTTGGCACAGGCTGAGGCGCAGACAGGCTTGTGGGCAATATGGCCAACAGGCAATGGTTCCAAAGATGTGTGGGAAAGAAACCACCTTACTCAACAAGCCCAAAATCTCTATGTCCACCTGAAGCCAACAGACCTGAAAGGTCTGAGTTCTGGTGACTCCCCTAGAGATGCCAGTCAGAGGATCCAGGAATAGAGATGCTTCCCGGCTCATCGGCAGTGGTCACAGCGTGCCACTGTTTTCCCTCTGTGTGGGGTCTACTTTGTTTCTATGAGCCAGTAGGCAGGAACTTAGCTGTGTAGACACATATGTGCAGGAGCGTATGTAATATACATAGAGGAGTGTGTTTGTATGTATGCATGTGGATACTCAAAAGACCTTGCAGAGTAACACCCCCTTTCACAGGGGACACAGATTCAGACAGATACAGCCACATGTACCAGTTCCCACAGCTAATACATGGCCAGCCTGCTCAATTCCAAACCTCATTCTATGTGGCTAGAAATTAATCAATGAGTAGACAGTAGGATGAGCTTTCCTGCACTCATCATGCGATTCCAACAGCCATACATGGCATCCAGCCTCCTGTCATCTATTTTCTCACACACTAAACCACCCCCATGTTGCTGTGGAATCCCGGGAAACACATTTCCTCCAAAGTGCTTAGTATAATCTCTCTCTGCTTCTCTCGTGGGTCCCTAAGCGAGTTCTGTTCTCCTAAGAACGTCCCACACGGGGTGCCCAAGCACTACAGGACACCCCTTGGGACTCTCTCCTTGCCTGACTCCTTCACCTACTCAAAGACCTTCTCACGAACACCAGTGTTCAATTTCATCTTGTATTATGACAGAATTTGAAATGAAAGAACAGAGCTTCCTCTGAGGATGTGAAGAGAACTAGGAAATGAATCCTGAGCTTTAGGAATGCGAGTCTCAGCGCAGCGACCTGGCTGAGCCCTCCCCGTTGGTGTTCCAGCCTGCAGCAATGTCAGAGTGGACACTCAGGAGGACAAGACTTCGTCTACTCAGGTTGTCGGCTACACACTGATTAGTGACCAAAGAAGGATCCTCTCTACAGGGCTAATAACCCCCAAGCCTCAGGTGAGCTGAGAACTCTAGACAGGGTTGATTACACTTTCCTCAGAAAGCCAGGACCTGGGGAGCTCCTGGGAAGAGGGTCAACATACCAAAATCCTGTTGGTATCTACGATGGAGGCCTCATGTTCTTTTTAAAGGACAAACTGCTTCTGTGTCCCCATCTAACAATATCCACCAAGCTTATTGCCTGATACAGGACAAAAATAGGAAACTGAGGCCAGCAAGATGGCTCAGCAGGTAGCCTGACAACTTGATAGGAGTCCCTGGGACCACACAGTGGATGGAGAGAAATGACTCACTTCCACACGCTACCGTGACATGAGTGCGCACAGTCACCACCACCACCCCCAGACAGATAAATAAATAAATACAGTGAATGACCACAATGTGGCCAGAATATAGCTGACAGGAAAGAGAGACCACGGTTCCTAGGGCCTTGAGTCTGGTGAGGTGGTGCACACTTAGAATCTCAGCACTCCCAAGGCTGAGGCAGGAGGATCAAAGTCTTTGGATAGTCTAAGCAGACAGTGAGTTCTAGGCAATGTGAACCATAAGAGTCTTCTAAAAATTACCTAGTCAGGATTAGCAGGTGGTACAGCAGGTAAGAAGCCCGCTGCCTAGCCTACGACCCGAGTTTGATCTCTGGACCCACGTGGTAGGAGAGAATCAACTCCTGCAAATTGCCCTCTGACCCCCACTCATGTACTGTGGTACATGCACCTCCCCACTTGAAAAAAATGTTTAAAAATCTAATTAATTTCAATTTTAAAATGAGTTACTGAGGCCTCAGAAAGGGGGTACAAGAATCCAGAAGGAAGGGATTTTTGGGGCCATGGGTTGGCTTTTCTGGAGCACACCCTAGGTAGCCCAGGGAGACCTGCCCTTGAACCCCTAATTGTGAGTAATCTCTCCCTCGAGAAGCAGAGATTTGGGAGCACCAACATTTTGTGTCACCACAGAAGGCTTGTGAAGCAGTTGGTATTTGAAACCAGCCTTGGCAACCGAACAGAATTTTGACAAATGGAGAAACACCAGTGCTCCAGGGGAACGCCCCAGACGGGGCTACATGATTTACCGTGACAGTACACCCTCCTGGTTTCACTGAGGTATGGATAACCACAACGTAATGCTGGGAGAATAAAGGTAGAAACGCAGGTGTGACAAGTGATAGAAGAACCCGGGTATGAGGCAAGAAGTTCATCATAAGGTTGTAGAGATGGACAGAGATCCATGGCTTACAGCCAGGAGTCAGGGAAAGGCCATTGCCATTGTGTACTTGGACGAACATGGATTATGGGCTCTGTTCCTGTTTATTTTGTGCTTATTTTAATCCCTGTACTCATTATTCATGAGAACACTAAGAATTGGAGCTTACCATTAAATGCTCAGAGGTGGGGTGGCGGGTAAAGGGGGGCTTTGGAGGATGTGTTCAGAGAACAAGGTGGGGAGAGGTGGAGGAGATGGCAATCTTAGGCTGTAGAGCATGTATGGAGAATAGAAACCTGGGGTGACAGTGTGGAGAACTGGTAGTTTAGGCCACTGTACAGCTGACAGACTAAGACAGCTTCTCGGGGTTGTAAGAAGGTAGTGTGAGCCTCTGCAGGGGACCCAGACATTCTTCCAGCAGCATGCTGGAAGACGTTTCTACTGTGATTCTGGGGACTCCTATTTCTAAGTGGATGTCAAGATCACAGATGAACAACTCAGCCGAGACCCCATGGAATGGATAGCCATATCCTGTCAAGTGCACAAAGCAGTTATCTCTCAGCCCTCAGACCACCTTCCGTCCAGCCATGAGTGACCGGCACGAAGGAAGTGCCTGAACTCAGTGTGCTAAGAGGGGACGCTGAAAGCCCGGGTCCTTTGAAGCTCCGGGAAGCTGAACTTGAACTTCCTAGTTGAATCATCTTCAAGTGGTTTAACTCCCTCAACTCCGGGTGTCTCCTTGGCCACTCTGGCAGGTGGAGAGGGTTACCTCGGCATGTGGAAATGCTTTCCTGCACTGTGCCTGATGCTCACTCACGCTGCTTCTTCCCTCTTCGTTGTGAAATTAGCACCCGATAAAAGGGAAATTACTAACAACCAAACATCCTGTAAGTGGCTAAGGTCAACTTCCTGTATTAAAACTTCAGAAGAATGCTAAGTAATAGCAAAGGGGAATTGTGTCCCTTTTCTCTCTTGTCCTTAGCTTCTCAGTAAGATGGGTGCCAATAAACAGAAGTCATGTATAAATTATTAAATATAAAATGTACACATAATTATATATCAGAAATTATATAAAATATATAAAAGTAGGTGCATGCACTTAACAGGAAAATTAAAACAACTCTTAAAAGTGAGTAGAAAAAGAAGAACTAGCTTTAAAAGTGGGCCTCTGATCTCAGGAGACATATTTACATTGAAAATAGAATGGCCCACAGGCACATGCAAAGATGAAATCATTCATTAGAGAAATGCAAATGCAAACCTCCGGGCTCTCGCTTTGCATTCTCTGAGCTGGCTACAGTCATACAGTGTTGGTGATAATGTAGAGAAATTAGAATCCTCAGATGCTGATGGTGGCTAAGTAAAACAGTACAGGCCATGGAATCTGTTCTGTAGATCACCAAGACATTAAACACGGGGGTACCACACGAGATGCAGCAATTGTACTTGTGGGTCTGTCTACACACAAAAGCATTTTAAACAGTTTCTACAGAAACTTATGCACCAGTATTCACAGAAGCATTGTTCCCAACAGGCCAAGGAGCTACTCAAATGTCCATGAGCCAGAGAGGAAGAAAGGAGACATCCACACAGCAGGGGTGAGGACCTGACGTGGACTAAACCCACCAATCTGATGCTCATAGAAGCAATCAGGCCCAAGAGGCCAAACTGTGTCTGTTTCCCTGTACAAGAGACTTCCATGAGAGAGAGACAGGTCTCTAGAGAAAGAAGGTTGTTGGTTGCCTAGGGACAGAATGTGGGGACAGAGGACTAAATGTGTGCATGGGACGAGTGAGGGAGTGACCAAGTGTTGTAATGTTATGGCATTTCTCAATTCTGTGACTACATCTAAAAAGGCAACCAATTGCTTGGTGTGAGAGTTAAGAATGATGGACTGGCAGATGCTGAACACAAGGAAGGCATCTTGTACATCTATTGGCCTGGGGTGATTACATAAGGACCTTTCTGAAATGGTTCACGCCACTGTCATCTTTAGAGGAGTGCCATCAGCACCTGCCTTTGGCAATGTGTACTCTTTGATACCTAGTCCTGATCTCAGTTCCTGGAAAGTCATTACCATCCGAGATTTATTAAAAGCATTAGCAAAATTAAGTAACAAAACCAAGCTCTAACACAAACTTCAGCATACTCCACCCAACTCTCCCTTAGTCATTCAAAGCAAAGCTTGTTCTTATTTCTATTTTAGATTTGTTTATGTGTGTGGCTGTTTTGCCTGCCTGTGAGTATGTGCACCACAGAGGCCAGAAGAGTGTGCCACATTTCCTGGAACTAGAGTTAGGGATGGTTGTAAGCCATCATATGAGTGCTGGGAATTGAACCCAGGTCATCTGTGAGAGCATTCTGTGCTCTTAACTAGTGAACTATCTCCAGCCCATAACCCAAATGATTGAATTTTAACTTCCTGGCTTCAAAGTTGGATATTTCTTATGTACGTGAGTTCTAGGATGTCCCATAATATTTCTTATAAAGAAGGAGAGGAAGGAGGAACAGCCTCCAAAGAGGACTAGAACATGGTAGTGCTGAAACCGAAACAGATCGTCATCCATACTCACTTCTACGCTAAGGTCCTCGTTCATCCTGGGGCAGTCTAGATGTTCTGGTCCCAAGATGGAGCCTCCTGTGGGGAGTGGACACCTGGTGGTAGAGAAAAGCTTGACCTTCTGCAGGTGAAAAACTGCAAATTAGCAGGGACCAAACTATGACATAGTTCCCAGCACCCCTCCCCCAGGTCAGCCAATTTCTAGTCAAGCAGGAAGCCTCTACCTCCTTCAGAGAGAAGTTACTAAGGACAGAAAAGCTAACCAAAAATTAAAATGTGACATTTGCAATTCAAAGTCTTGTTTCCTCCACTCAGGAGCAGAAAGGGCTCTTGCTGGGGAGTTAATCCTGCCACCCCTATTGATATTCAGGTGTGTCCCAGAGATCAGTCTTTTGGCTTTTAAAGGCAGGTGAGGACAACTGAGGCTTGCAACTGGGGTGCAGGGCAGCAGACAGGCATGATGTCCATGACTCATCTCAGTTAAGTTAGCGGTAAAAATGTAGTGTGTTCTGCAAAGCAGTCTCATGAAAGTCAAAAGCAATATCTGGATTCTAAACTGTACTCCTCAGAGAGCTGGAGGAACTCCATCAAAAAACAGCAAAGAGATAATAATATCAGATAAAATACAGAAGGTGGGACCACAGCTGTGATTAACTTACTGGGGTGGTCTTGTCACATCCAACTCTCCATCCGCCTCCTGCTGCGGGGGTCTTTCACTTGGAGCATGGGCTAGCTTTTTGACACGTGAGACAGATGCCAGTTCTAGCCTTGAAATTGCTGTAAGGCCGTCAAGACACAAGGCATCTATTGCAGGAAGGAATGAGGGTAGAGGTGAACTTCCCATTCAAATTGTGTTAAAGATTAAACTCTTTCTCACCTAAGCGATTGAGTGCATCGAGTCTGAAAAAGCGAAAATCAATCTAATTCTATTAACATTTTATCCTAGTTATGTGGAGGTAGAAATATCCAATATTTATTAAAAACAGACAAACAGCGACAAAATGAACTGGGGCATGGGGAAGAGGACAGAAAACCTCTGTCCACTGAGCAACTAGCAGGTCCACAATCCACAGCCAGCAGTATCACAATCAGTGGCCTGCTTTCATAGTGAGGTTTACTGGAGCACAGCTGTGGTCACTCATTCTTGGACCATCTGTGACTGCTTGTCTATGTTTCAGCAGTGGTGCTGAAGAGTTGCCATGGAGACCATGTTCAAATTTTGGTTCAAATTTTGGAGATTTTGGTTCAAATCCTAGTTTTGCCTCATGCAGGTGGTGTATTTGTAGATAAATTAACGTCTTCACTCAGAGCCCTAATAGACTTGTGTGTAAAGGGACATACGATCTCAGGCAGATTATGTTTGATGTTCCCTGTTTCTTCATCTTTAAAAGGAGAACTGTAGGCAGGAGACATGGTGCTGAAGAGCATGTGGTGCTCTTGCGGAGCCCCCAGTTTGGGCTCCCAGCAGCCATGGCTCAGGATCTGTAAGTCCAGTTCTGGAGGGATCTGATGCCGCCTTCTGGTCTCCATGGGCACACATGTGGTGCATTTACAATCATACATATAAAATAAAATAAATTTTTAATGAAAAATAAAATGGGCCAGGAGCCAGGGAAACAGTTTGGTGGTGGAGCATCATTCAGCATGTTCTGTCTCCAGTCCACAAAAGTCAATACAGTAAAATGGGAAATACACTAACATCACCCTATGGGACCATGGTGAGGACTAATGAAGTTATCAGGCACACTAGAACACAGGATGCAGCCGAGGTTTCCGTTAATAAAATTGGCTTAAAGCACCGGTCTAGCCCGACATCCCCATCAGCAGTGGCTGCTCCTCATCTGGTTTCATGATTCACAAACCACTTTCTTTATGCTTCTTCTTAAGTTTGTCTTGAGCACAAACCACAGCAACCCTCAGTCCTTTCAGAGCACACTCGGCTCTGTCCACCGTCACACACAGGCAGGGCTGGTGCTGTCTGGCTCCAAGTTGTTCTCAGGATGCTGTCCTTTTACCTTTGGCCTGGCTGCTCAGATCAGCCCCAGGTCCCCACCTCATCATTTTTCCTTCATTTCCTGCTGACTCCTCTAAATGCACCCTAAGCTTTGGCTCCACAAATGAAGACGAAGCTTGCGTGTTCTGCCTTCTCTTTGGAGTCCTGGTTTTCTGTCCACACTCCAGCTATCAGAATTATTTCAGCATGTTCTCAAAGCCGTCTCCCTTCCCCCACTACTTCATTTCTCCCATCTTCTAGGGAATGTTTTCTGGACTCAGGTCTTGTTGTTTTAGGATTTGTTCTTAATTATATGTAATGGTGCCCGGTATAGAGTGGATGTTCAGGTATGTATTAATTGAATCCATAGACAAATATCCAATACATCTCCCTGGACAGATATCATTGTTATCGATTATTGTCTCTCTGAAGAAACCCCTCTCCACCTACGAGTGGGCAGGAGTGGGGAGGAGCATGTCCACACTCACTTAGCAGAGGAGTACTCTGGAAGGAGTCTTTCCAGGTCAGGGGTACCTGATGGGCGCTTCCTTTTTGCCTCCTCTGTGGTTGGTGGCAGGACTGCTTCTGAACAGAAAAGCAGCATTATTAACTGTCTAAAGGAAAGCTCCACCCCACAGTTCTCAAGATAATTCCCTCAGCTCAAGACAAGACTCATGATGGCAGGGGCGGGGCCAGGACGGGACTGTGGCAGGGGTAGGGCAGGGGCGGGACAGGGCAGGGGCAAGGGTGGGGCGGGGGTGGGGGCAGGGTAGGACAAACATGAAGTTAGAGTGGGGGTAGATCTGAGAGGAGTTTGGAGGGGTATGAATATGGCCGAAATATATCACATGAAATTCTCAATTAATAAAAATACTTTAAAAAAAAAAAAACAACCAATAGACAAGTGCCAGAGGACAGTTGAGCAGAGCACCAGCTACTCCTGCAGAGGACCCAGCTTTTGGTTTCCAGCACCAACATGGTGATCCACAACCATCTATAACTCAGGTGCCCAGGGATCCAACGCCCTCTTCTGGCTTCTGTGGGCACTGCATACATGTAGTGTACAGACATACATGCAGGCAAAGCACCATACACATAAAATAAAAACAGACAAAATTTCAAAGAAAAAAGTAGACAGGATGTGACTGGTCCCAAGTGAGGATGTTACAGAGCAAAACTTTCAGACTTCTACCCAGAGCCTCAGCACAGAAGCAAATCTGATGCTTATTCAAGCCTGGCCCAGAGGTGCAGGCTTAGAGTTGTAACACCTCGGAGGCAGAGGCAGGAACATCTCAAGTTCAAGATTCGCCTGGGCCACAAAGTGGGTGTAGGGCCAGTCTGGGCAACTTAGTGTGACTCCGTCTCAAAATAGAAAGTAAAGAGACTGGAGATATGGCTCAAAGGTACAGCCTTTGCCAATATTCGTGAGGCCCCAGAGGTTCAATCCCATGCACTACAAACAGACCCAGCGGTAGCAGCTAGCAGAATGCTCACACATCACCAAGTCCACACAATCCCACTTAGACAGAAACAAGACTTTAGGGAAGGGGGTGGGAGTGAGGGGCAAGTCCATCTACATAATGCCTCATGGTTCTGTAAGCAAAAGGCCGTATCACTACCTCTTATATTAGATGGTATAATTAAGAAGGAAAAAAAAAAGAATCTATTGCTTGTCTGGTAATGTTTTGTAGATAAGTAGCATATTTAGATTTCTCAGCTTTTTCATACATACTGAATGATTTTTTTTAATTATTGTTTTTTTTTGTATGTGGGTATTTTGCCTGCATTTATATCTATGCACCATGGGAGTACAATACCCGAGGAGGTCAGAAGAAGGTGTTGGATCCCTTGGAAATGGAGTTATAGATGGTTGTGAACAGCCATGTGGGTACTGGGACTCAAACCCAGTCCTCTGGAAGAACAGCCAATGCTCTAACCCCTGAGCTATCTCTCCAGCCCCTGTCTTTCTTCCTTTCTTTTCTGCATAGTTTAGGGTATTTTTGTTTTGAGACAGACTCTCACTATATAGCCCTGGTTGGCCTAGAGTGCACTATATAAATTGGGCTGTCCTCATACTCGCAGAGATTAGCCTGGTTCTGCCTCCTCAATGCTAAGATAACAGGTGCAATCACCATGCCTGGTTTGAACTACATTTTATTTTTATATAATAGCTGAATCACAGTCATTACCTAAGTAATTAAAAACAAAACAAATCTCATGCTTACCAATTTCCCCTGTAGAAGTCTATGCCTCTCTGTGCAGGACAGGGGATCATAGTGAGGAGACCCCTCATCTAAAAAGCCCTGTTGAGAGACAATGGTGGAGTATATTAAAAGACAGAATACAATCAGAAGCACAAGACACACCAGACCTTGGCACATGCCCACAGCCTCAAGTGACTGAAAGTGAACAGTTTCCATTACTATTCTTTAAGGGAACACGTTGGTAACTACAAACCTCCCATTGTAGTTTCCTCATTATTTAATCTAGAAGTAAAATCCAAACCTTGAATAGGGAGCTAGATGGCTTGACACTGAGACCCTTGGGTGGAGAACAAAGAAGTCTGTAGTGACTCACAGAGGCCATGATAGTGTCTATTAAATCTTTAGGGAGTGGCTGAGACAGATAAAGGCACTTGTGGTCAAGGCTGATGACTTGGAGCCCTGGAACCCACACGGCAGAAGGAGAGAACTGACTCCCACAAGTTGTCCTTACTATGTACAGTCACAGGTATATACACACATATAAATGTAAGTTTCTAAAAAGTTAAAACATATATAGTCAGAAAATTGTGGTCTTAATTCAACAGGATGGCATCTGCCAACCATAACTAATGCTGAAAACGCCATTATTTTGGGGATGGTTAAACTAGTCTTGAATTTTTGATCCTCTGGCCACCAGCAGAGGACTGGCTACAGACATATGCATACCACATGTGTCCAGGCTTCTTTGGGCATGGATCTTTCAAGCTCAGTGTACTGCAGGGGCACTTTTAGGTGCTTTACCTAATTTATATAATTTTTTTTTGGCTTGAAGGTGTCTATATCTTGTTTATATTTATAGTATGTGCCCTGAAAGAACTATATGCAAATATCACCTTTTCTTTCTTCTACCTCTGCCTTTCTGTGCCAAATTTGTTCTCCCTTAGGCTCTTCATTTATGAACTAATGAGGAGATTCTCCAAGTTTCATGATGGAAAGAGATGTATTCTACTTTAGGGTAGCGTCAGAGTGGAGTTGAGAGATATTTTAGCAGTTAAGAACACTTACTGTGCAAGTATGAGGCCTGGAGCTCAGATGCCAGCATACAGGTAGGAAGCTGGACATCCCACAAACACCTTTAATGCCAGCTCTAAGGATCCAATACCCTCTTCTGGACTCCAAGTGTCCACACATGTACATACACCCATTCAGACGCACATAGGAATGAATGAATGAATCTTGAAGTCAGTGGTTAAGTGTACCCACTGCTCTTCTAGAAGACCTGGGTTCAGTTCCTAGCATCTACCCAACACTTAGAACTGCAACTTCAGGTCCCAGGGACCCAGTGCCCTCTTCTGGAGTCCTCAGGCACAAGGCACACATACATACATGTAAACAAAATACTCATACACACAGGATAATTTTTTAATTTAAGAATTTATAAACATTTTAAGAAATGAACAGTTTGAAAGTTTAACAAATCAAAGAAAAAGGGAAATAAGCCCTACAGCCTATTCAAGGCTGGAGAAGCGGCTCCATCAGGAAAATACTTGCCTCTCAGGCTTGAGAACCTGAGTTCAGATCCCCAGCATCCATACACAAAGATGGGTGTGGTGGTGCACACTGTAATCCAAGTGCTGGGGGCAGTTCAGGAGGGTCACTGGGGCTTGCTGGCCAAACTGGGAGCGCTTGGTTCAATGAAAGACTTGTCTCAAACAAGTTGGTTTGAGTTGGAGAAGAGATTGAAGAAAACAGATCACACACACACACACACACACACGCACACACGCACACGCGCACACGCGCGCGCACACACACACACACGCACGCAAGCACTAACTTTTAAAATTTTTAAAGGAAAATAGAAAATCAGAGACTGGGATGTAGCTCAGTGGTAGAACACTTGCCTACCATTGACAAGTGTGTGTGATACTCGGATTCCATCTCATGCGTGGAAATACAAAACAAAACAAAGCTGCTATAGGCATCATTTCATCCAAACTCCTACCACTACGGAGATTTCCCATTACACCTCTGATGGAGCCCAGGACTTGGGAGTTCTAGGTGGAGCTGGATTGTGAGAACATTGAAACCCACAGGATAGAGGCCATGACTCTAAACTGTGAAGCTAAGTTCAGACTTCAGGAGAGTGCTCACTTCCACATACTGCTCTCTGGAATTAAAAATGCCTTTCTAGGGCTGGAGAGAGGCTCAGTGGTTAAGAGCACTCACTGCTCTTACAGAGGACCCAGGTTTGGTCCCAGCACCCACGTGGCTGCTCACAACCATCTGTAACTCAGTTCCAGGGATCCGATGTTCTCTTGTGCCTCTGCAGGCAGCAGCCACAGGCGTGGTGCTCAGACATATGTGTAGTCAAAACACTCACACATATAGAAACACAAATAAGTAAAAAAAACAATATCTTCCTAAATTGTTGTGGAGGTGCACACCTGTAATCCGAGCATTTGAGAAGCTGAGGCAGGTGGATGACAAGTTCTAGGCCAGCCTGGGCTACATAGGGAGACCCCAACTCAAAAAGCACGACTTTAATCCCAGCACTCAGGAGGCAGAGGCAGGCAGATCTCTGAGTTCTAGGCCAGCCTGGTCTATAGAGAGAGTTCTGGGACAGCCAGAACTACACAGAGAAACCCTGTCTCAAAAAGAAAAAGAAAAGAAAGAAAAAAAAGAAAACCCAAATCATCCAAACAAACCAAAGCAATATAAGACAAAAGTCATCTTTCTAATGCCCAAAGCCTATATACCTGACAGCTAAAAACTGTTTTCCAGTGACTCTTAAAGCTTTATCCCTCAAATGATGGAAATTGGGGAAAACAACTATTCAACTCTTTACACAGGAATGTTAGTTGATAGCCCATACTCTTTGAATCACAGCCAACAACAGGAAAATAAACCCACTTAGAGTAAGGACACATGCCCACTTAGGGACACATGTGTACATGCAGAAACCAGAGAACAATGTCTTTCTGATTCACTCTCCACCTGAGCTTTTGAGATATGTTATCTCATTGAACCTGGAGCTCACCAGTTTGGCTACATTAGCTGGTGTACAAACTGGTGGGGTCTTTCTACCCCTGTCCCTTCCTCCAAACCTCCCCCCCCCCCCACCCAGTGCCCTCCACTGGTCTCCCTCCCAGCTCATGTCCTTCATTTCTGGCTTGTCCCCATCTCTACTTGAACTACAGATGTGCATGACCACATCACGCTTTTATACTGGAAGTTTCGGGGCTTGGACTACAGATGTGCATGACCACATCACGCTTTTATACTGGTGTTCCAGGGCTTGGACTACAGATGTACATGACCACATCATGCTTTTATACTGGTGTCCCAGGGCTTGGATTACAGATGTGCATGACCACGTCACGCTTTTATATTGGGTGTCCCGGGGCTTGGATTACAGATGTGCATGACCATGTCATGCTTTTATACTGGGTGTCCTGGGGCTTGGACTACAGATGTGCATGACCATGTCACGCTTTTATACTGGGTGTTCTGGGGCTTGGACTACAGATGTGCATGACCACATCACGTTTTTATACTGGGTGTTCCGGGGCTTGGATTACAGTCCTCATACTTGCAAAGCAAGCACTTAATCAACGGAACCATTTTTGGAGGGGGCGGGGACGGGGGGTCGGGGGTGGGGTGGGGCGCGTGCAGGGTCTTGCTACATAGCTCAGGCTGGCCTGGAATACTGTGTAGCCCAGCATGGCCTCAAACTGGACACTCTTACCTCAGGCTCTCAATGCTGGGGTTATGGTTGTGAGCCACCATGTCCTGGAGACCTCTTAGCTTTGTGAAACTGTGCTCAGTGTAGGGAGACACAGACCTATCCTCCCAGCTTACAAAGAGTAGCCAATGCTTCCAGAAGTCTCCATTGGGCCTTCCAAGTTCACATAGCTTCATAAAAACAAACTCAGGCTTCCCTCAGTGCTACCAGCCCAGTATGTGCTGCAGATAGGGTGTGAGCAAGGGTGACATCATCTATAAGGCCCATCTTTGATGACGCATCTGAACTGCAAACTTATTTCCACAGATGGTTCACACAACGAGTAGCGGCAATTTCCATATTTTCCATATGACAAAACAGACTGGACGATGGCCCTCGGTTTGCATTCTGCTTTGCATTCTTCTGCGGATGGGGAGCTGCAGAGTGTGGGACATTAGGCTTCAAGAAGAACCAGAGCAAACAAAGGCCACTGACCCTGCTGCTGCCAACTGTGCTGTGAAATGTGCCCAGACATCTGTCTCTGATTCCCTGCAAGAGGGAAGCTGGCCTAAGCAGCTTTCTAAAGGACAACACAGTGACTTCCAGACAAAGGCCTTCTACTTCATTGGCTGCTGAAAACCAAAAGCCTGCCTACCATTACCAGAACTGCAGTGTTCATTATCAATGATGCCCACACCTCCAAAGAACATCTTCACAACACAGTACATGCTACTGGGGGAAAAAACCAAAGTCATGTTCTGGGCATTAAAAAATAGCCAGGTGGTGATGGCACATGCCTTTAATCCCAGCACTCAGGAGGCAGAGCCAGGCGGATCTCTGTGAGTTCGAGGCCAGCCTGGTCTACAGAGCGAGATCCAGGTCAGGCACCAAAACTACATAGGGAAACTCTGTTTTGAAAAACAAACAAAAAACAGAGTTGGGGGGCTGGTGAGATATAGTTACTTCTGTGCAAGAGAGAGGAGAGAGAGGGAGAGGGAGAGAGAGAGAGGGAGAGAGAGAGAGAGGGAGGGAGGGGGAAAGAGAAGGGGGAGGGGGGGGGAGGGAGGGAGGGAGGGAGGGAAGGAGGGAGGGAGGGAGGGAGGGAGAGAGAGAGAGAGAGAGAGAGAGAGAGAGAGAGAGAGAGAGAGAGAAAACTGACTCCAAAAACCAGTCCCCTGACCTCCACCAGGCATGCTGTGGTATTGAGTGTGAGCACACATAGAAACTAAGATATATACATCAGAGTGGGGCTGGGCGTGAGTCTCAGTGGTGGAGGCTCCAGGCTCTGGGTCTGCAGACCAGAAGTAGCACTGAGGGGAGTGCTCGCCCCACAGCATTCACAGCACTTCCAATGGGGAAAAACAAAACAAAAAAA